CTTTCAGGTGACATTGTAAATAAGAAGCAGGCAGCAGTATCTCCCATAAATGTAAACAAACTTATTTGTCTTAGCAATTGGCTGAATAAGAAGTAGGACTGAGTGGACTTGTAGGCTCTAAAGTTTTGCATTGTTTTGTTTATGAATGCAGTTATGTAACAAAAAAAGCTACATTTGTAAGTTACACTTTCACGATAAAGAGGTTGCACTACAGTACTTGTATGAGGTGAATTGAAAAATACTGTTTCTTTTGTTTATAATTTTTATAGTGGAAATATTTGTAATCAAAAATAATAATATAAAGTGAGCACTGTACACTTTGTATTCTGTGTTGTAATAGAAATCCATATATTTGAAAATGTAGAAAAACATCTTAAATATTTAATGAATTTCAATTGGTATTATATTATTTAATAGTGTGATTAATCACAATTAATTTTTTTAATCACAGTTCATTTTTTTAATTAATTGCGTGAGTTAACTGCGATTAATCAACAGCCCTACTTAAATAGTAGCCTGTAACCAACCTGCCATTGGAATCACTGCAGCAGAGTGAAAATATGTTAAGATCCCAGTAGATGTTCATAAAGATAAACAATTTGTTTTATACATGTGGCTTGTTTACAGTAAATTTTAATACTCAAGGTGGATGTGGTAGAGAGAGGTCCCTATACACCTCTAAAATGCACTTTCTAATTGACCTCAAAATCTTGCCATCTTTAGGTTGCCATCTCTTCTCTATGGGCAAGATCTGTGGCTGATGTGAATTGTCATAGCTCCATTGATTTCAGCTGACATATAAAGATTTACACAAGTTGAAGATCTGGCCCTATAGCTTTATCTAGGTACCTAAATCCAGACTACAGTGCCAAAGCATTTAGGTATTTAGGATGAACTTCTGGCTCTACCAAAGTCAATGAGAACTCCCATTGTCTTCAACAGTTTAAAATTTATCCCTTAATCCCATGGTTATGTTTCATTGCTTGGAATAATTTAGCCTTTAAAAAAAAAAGCCTTTAACATCGTACTTTTGTGTATGTTATTTCCATGTAAAGGATGCGTTAGTGGCGAGAGAGCATCCAATGAGCTGCTTCTTCCCACCTCCCCCGGGTGCCAGACAGGACTGCAACATACCTGTCAAGAAGGAAGGTGACTAGCTTCTGTGCTGGCCACTGCCCACAAGGTTGTGTGGCTTGATGGTTTGAGAGTATGACCAGGCATCCAGTCTCCCCAGCATGTATGTTGTAGTATGTCGTGAACACTACATAAGGGGGGCATGCACATATCCTCTGAAAGAACTTGATCCTACTCCCTTTGAAGTCAATGTGGAAGCCTGGAGTTCAGAGCAAGTAGGATCTAGCCCTCAAGGAGCAGTATGGTATGCCACATAACTCATTCACCCATAATTTCCCTGAGGGCATGACTGCTCTGGGACCCAGTGCAAGGCTGGCAGTGCTCCCTCAACTCACCTTAAAAAAAACCTCTCTGGCTATCAGCATGCACCGATTTCACTCATTATACTACACAGTAGTTAATATACTACACAGTAGCATAATCCAGTCACCGTTGAATTTATGGTACATCATGTTCACATGTAACAGAATCATGTTAAACAGATCTTTGAAGTGGGCACTGCCCTGTTTTACTCGTGCAGTTCACCCCCTCCCCCCAAACACACACATGTTGATAATGATTATTTTTTTGGTGTAGCACTCAAAATATGCTAGGTGCATGGATTAGAAATAGGTAAGGCTAGTAAGAAATCCATTTTTAAAGATCTGAGCTGTTTCATATACTTGGAAAATGTCGCTCTTTATTCATAGCATTTTGTTACACGCTGCTATACACAAAACACTACTGAGCATAAGTGGCTGTTCTGAGTTGCCATTTATCCTGCCACTTCATTACCACTCCCTCTTGTAGACTGGTAATTAGAAGACTCTGATAGTAATCTGCAACAGATACTCTTTTGTAGTCTTCTATCTTCCAGATGAATATCCCTGGCAGTTTTATTACTAATTTGGAGTTGCCACTGGGCCTGTCTTGTAATTAAGTTACTAATGTAGTGTCTCGGCTGTCCTGCTTTCTTTGTTACTGTTTTTGTGTTCGTGCTATGGAATTTCTTCCTCCCTGTGTTTTTCTGGATAAAGTCCTGCACAAGAATCACTTATGGCCTTTTTAACTGAAACTTCACACACTTCGGTTTGCAATCAAAGGCGCCCCTAGGGTAGAGTTTTATGATATTTACATGATTATCTAATTGGTATAATGATTACCGCATTTACTACTGCATTTAGATTACTGCTTTTAAAGACCTACAGAAGTCTCATGAAAACCATTGAATAGCTTTAATTTCAATCCTGCAACACCTTACACAGACAAAGTTCCCAAAGAATCTGGTGGTAGGTTTTCCTCCTGCAATAGCAACTTCAGGATTGGGTCCTATATAAATAATTCTGCTCATCTCTTATGTTGTCTGTATTTCTCTTTGGTTATTTTTTGTTAACTCCTAAGGATGTTGCCTGAAAACACAAGTCTTTGTTTTGTAAGAGTTTTGCTATTCTTTTAGTGCAGGAATCGGCAACCTTTGGCACATGGCCCATCAGGGAAATCCACTGACAGGCCGTGACTGTTTGTTTACCTGGAGCGTCCGCAGGTTCGGCCGTTCCAGGCCAGAGGGGGCTGCGGGAAGCGGCAGCCAGCACATCCCTCGACCCATGCTGCTTCCCGCAAAGGTTCCCGCTTCCCGCGTGCCGAAGGTTGCTGATCCCTGCTTTAGTGTATTCTCTGACTTTAGTCTGCAGTATTAAAGATGGTTGCACTGGTGATGATGTCACAGAGGACTATGGGTGAAATAATGTTCCTGCTGAAGTTAGTGAGAGTTTTGCATTGTCTTCAGTGTGACCAGGATTTCTCCCTACTATGACATTAAAGTGGGAAATAGGCAACAGGAGCAGAGAGGAAAGAAAATATTTCTTTCATATATAGGTTCCCCAGTAATAACTAAAATCTTTTAAAAGGGGGAATAAAAGCAATCCCGCTGAGAACATGAGATACTTCAAGAAAGGTATTATGGGCCTAAGTGTGTGAGTTCAGTTGAATCTCTGAATGACTGAGTGGGCAAGGAAGAGTCTGGGTGTTCTTGCATAGGCTTTGTAAATGTTTTTCGTGTACATGCACCTAGAGCGATGGACAGGTGCACTTTCGAAAACCAGAATAAATATGTACACGTCTTTTCAGTGTGCTGCAGGCTAGGTTTGCTATAGATAATATGTATCATTTGTAAAGCGTAGCTGGTACTTGGAGGGATCCTTGATGATTTGTGATGAAGTAATTGTTTTCATCTGTTTGAGTAAAGCGTTTACCATTTTCCATTGTTCTCTTTTAGAAACATTCTTTACAGGCTGGATGAAAAGATGAGCCAATTTTCAGTACTACTAGAGGCACTGGAGCACTGCAAGCTACATCAGTCAAATGAGACCCTTCAAGCAGCCTTGTCAAAGGTGCTGAACAGCATCAATTCAGCTCAGGTTTACTTCAAAGCAGGACTTGATGTGTTTGAGACTGCCTTTGCTGGAAAGAAATGACAAAACTCTCAGCATTCTAAGAAGTTTGTTTACAATTCACTAAGCAAAAGTTCGAGTCGGACCAGAATTTCTTTGAGATTGAAAGTTTTTTCAACTGTTTTTTTTTTCAATCGGTGTTTAAAGGTACTACAGTGTGTGTTCTAATAACTATAAAACAGTCTTTTGCACTGTTCACGGTAAATCCCAGATGTCTCTTTGAGAATGTATAAAAACATATTCAGAGGGGAATAACACTCAAGATTTGATTTTTAGAAGGAAATCTGCTGTATTTTTATATGTAAAATATATTTTTATGACTAAGGGCTCAATCTTGCAAAGTGCTGAACACTTGCTGCAAAATGCTAAGGGCCTGCTTTTCTGAGGTGAGGAACACCCACGGTTGTAAGTATCTCGGGGCTGTGAATGCTCAGCACCTCAACAAATCATGACTGCAGTACCCTAAAATTCATTGGTTCACCCTTAAGTCCTCCAATACCCAGATTTGCTACACCTCCACAACAAACTCATCTTTGTTCTTTCCCCTTTATGTCTGGGGAGAGGAAGTTGAAGGATGTGGGTTTGTTCTATTGGTGTTCAGGGCATGCAGGACTAAGGAGGAGGCACTCGATATCTTGCAGGTAGAGTCCAACATTCTGAGACCATCCTTACTCCTGTGGGTGATGCATATAGTATGAATGTTGCTTAGGTTCTGGGAGAGTTAAGAACCTTTGATTATCCTGTTTCTGCACCAGAAAAGGAGAATTTTAATTTCAGTGAAAAGCGTTTGGGGTTTTTGTTTTTAACAATTCAGAGGATTCAGAAAGATTTGAATTAGTCGACGGAGTTGACCAAAAACATTTTGAATGTTTATATTTATGAAATGAAGTGCCTAATCTTATGGAACTAGTAGTACTACCCTGGCTAACAAAACTGTCAACCTTTATACTGGCATCCACTATACGGGCTCCCTTCACTCCCAGAATGGTATAAGGGACCCTAATGTAAATGAGAATCAAAACCTAAAAATACTAGGGAATTTCTTAAGATATAGGGCTTGATTGTTTCATTGGCAGGACCCAGGCTGTGGACTCACAGCAGTGCAATCATAGTAGTGCAAGCCACCTACAGTTCCCACCCCACCAGAGAACCTAGCACAACCCAAATAGATTAAGCAGGTCTCTTGTCTGAAACATAAAGCAGTATTCCCCTAATGGAATCGGTCTGAGGGAAACAGTAATACCTCTACCACTGCATAGCATGGAGTTATTGATGGGTGGAGCAAGTACAGTTGTACCTCCCTGCGCTGCTGGGGTGAATGTGAGTGCACACAGGACAACTGGAATGCTAGTCATTTAATTTTGCAAAACAGGCGACTGATGGGGCCAAAGTTTACTGGGACTTAGGGCTTTAAATCCATAGATTATTATAACGCCATACAATAAAATTTAGAGCATATAGAGAAACACAGTTTTAAGAATGATGAGTGTGGAATTAGAGCTGCAAGAAAAAATGATCAGACGTCACTGGGACTTCCAGACTGAAAAAGTAGTTGCTGTCTGGGATCCTAAATAGTTTATTGTTGCCTCAAATTTGTCCGTGAAAATAAAAAGGAGGCATTTCAGTTTATAATGAAAACAACCACATTTCTGTTTGAATGTAGAAAAATTTCACCTGGGGAAAATTGCAAATTTGTCCAAAGGGTGCAACTTTGTGTCAGTACTGTTTAACAAGAGCATGTTCCCAAAGTGAAAACAGGGAGTTTTATCACAACTCTGAGTCTTTATTTCCCCACATATTGTTCTTCAAAAAATACTTCTATAGCTGCAATGATTTAATATAGAGTGCATGCAACTTTGCTTTTGTCACATTTCCTCATACATTAACAACGCAGGAAAGGGTTTACTCTCTACCTTTCAGCTAATACTAGGTGCTTCTAATATGGAGGGATCTGTCCGCTGGAGGGCAGGTGAGCAATTTGACTTGCCACACCGACTCTAAAGAGATGGCATGGCACCATTTTCTTCTGCCATAGCACATCTTCTCTATCATCGGGTTTCCAATAGCACCCATCACCGTGGTTTCTAACCAGTTGGAAATGCTTCATATGAACTGTGTGTTCTGTATTTTCCAACAATATTTAACAATTTATTGTATGCACTAGATTTGTATTGTATTTCCTGAGGAGGAGCAATCTCCCAGCTGTGAGGTTAGCGCGAGTTCTTCCTTGGGTTACTGATCCCCACAAGCCTGATCCTGCTCCCATTGAAGTCAATGGTAAAGCACTTATTGACTTCAGTGGTACAGAATCAGGCTCCAATAAAGGGGCCTAAAATATAGACCAACACCTCCTTCTTCCAGAAGGGACTAGTAGCCTCTTCTGGGTCTAAAATGTAAAATCTCCCAATCTCCCATTAATCTAATCTGTGTCATTTCCAATATTGTATACATTGAGATTTTTTTGAGAAGACTGTGTCGTTTGTTACAACTGACTAACTTTCCTTTCCACCTTTCTCCAGTGATGTTAGACCATAACCAGTTTTAAAGTCACAGACCTTGAAGTATTCTACTGCAAATAACACCGTTATAGTATGTGTCTACCTAGGGCTGATCCCCTGCACCTGCAGGGGCATAGGCTTGATGGGTTACTAGACACTAACTTGTCTGATTTTAGAGGTGTAAGTGCTCACAGGTAATTTTTGCACCAGTTTACCTTTGAAAAGGTACTGCGGGCCATCTCCTGCCAATGTTTTTTACATGTAGTCTGGTAGATTCAGGGAATTGATAGCAAGATAAAGCCATAAATATTTAGTGAATTTCTAATATAGAATCTTTCTCTCAGCCACTTGTTCCACATCAGGTAAGAAAAGGTGTTTGTAATAGTTTACTCAAACTAAATTCCTTCTGGTATTGTGTTGAAATAAAGGCAATGCCCTTTTTAAAAATGCAGTATGTTTGCAAACTCCTTGAAGGATACTAAAAAAAATCTGTTACCTTTTCATGAGCATCGATTGCCAAACCCAGCATAATAAATACATTGATTGCTAGAGAACCTACTCACCAGGACCAGAAATCCTAAGGCTTGCAATAGTTGTGTGGTAAAGCAGTTGATAATAAAAGGCTAACATGATTTTATGAGTGCATATTTTAGTGAGTCCATAAAGAACTAAAATATAATCAAATCAGATAAATAACAAGGACATCGAAGCTGGAATTTCAGCACTAACTTCACAGTAGGCAGTGAATTGCTTTTATCACCCAAGAAAAACAAGCCCTTTTTGCTGTATAGTATACACAAATAAACATATGGCTTGTATAGTGCCTTTATTTTTCAATTATTGTGCATATACTAATTTCTATACATGGTACCATCCTCACCCACATAGATGGAGATGATACCCATGTGATAAATTCCAGAATGAATTTACCATACACTTGACTGCTTCACCTGCCCTCTGCCCATTATCACAGCTTCTAGGACTTGTTCAAATCTAAGGAGCTGTAAGAAGGGCACTGCAGCAATGCATGGGGAACAAATCAGTCTCTCAGTTAACTACATTTTTTCCCCTAGGAGTAGTTCTTCCATATGTTTTTTTACCCACTTTAATCATTATTATTTCATGCATTTGAAGAATGCCCATTATTATAATATTAATTTATCATTCATTTTACAGGGAATTTGGTGTGAAAAATCTTAGCCTAATTGTCTGGGATTCCAAAGCCATTATTTATTGGACAAAGAAATATGACTTGCAAGCCCATTAGCTCAAGCTTGTAAAGACTCATGTTTTTATCTCTGGAGATCACCTTTTCAATCCCTGCCCATAAGCATGAAGGTGGTCATCACACATACTGTCTAAGAGACGGATATAGAGAAAGCAGGATGCACTAGGAAATCTAGAGAAGGGTGTAAACTTATAGGGAAAAATACATGGAGATAGTTAACTATCATAAACTACATATTTTCCTTCCAACTGTAAGAGTTTGATGAAATTCTATGACCTGTGTTATGCAGGAGGTCAGACTAGATGACCATAATATGGTACCTTCTGGTCTTAAAATCTGTGACTCATTTTAGAGAGAGAGAGAGCACTAAGTTTGGGCTTAGACACATTTTCAAGGGAACAATTCTAAGAGATGGGCCCATGCTCAAAGCCTTGTATTGTGGGCTATCATCCTTTGAGCTAAGGATAACTGGAAGTGACTACCTCTAAAATATGTTAATGTCGCTCTTTCAAGGTCCAGTTATGTGAGGTGGAAGAAGTTAAGTTCCTTTAACTCTCATTGGGACTTCAGGGTTCCCAGGATCAGACCTTAACTTCGATAGGTGGTTGCCTGAGTGGCATTCCCTTTGCTCTGAAGGCACATTCTTTCTAGCACTGCATTACTAGTTCCTGCCAGTTTAGGAGTGGAAAGCAAAGTCCAATTTCAGAGGTCTGGGGTCTGATTTTGCAGCATACTTAGCAAATATCACTTTGTATGTTTAAAGCATGGCTTCATTGACTTCTGTTGCTTCTGTAAGTGCTCAACACTTCTGCAAGACAGACCCCGGGGTCTCAAGTCAGGCACCCAGAAAATTAGTGGCCACCTGTGAAAAGTTTGGTTGAAATGATTTGCCCAGCACCACAAAGGAACTTTGTGTCAGAGGCAGGGATAAAATCTAGTTCTCCAGGACAGTGTCCAACTGCTTTAACCATGAGACCATCCTTTTTCTCCTCACAATCCCCTGTTTTATTCACTATACTCCTTCCAAAACTAATGGAGTGTAGGGTTCCTACAGACAGCAGCCTCCTTCACTACACAGCCCTGGTTCATCCCCAGAGCTTGTTCATTCTGTGCACTGAATAAGGCAGGAGTACTGTGGAAAAACAATGTGTGATTATGTAATTAAAGACTGTGACGTCATGCATGTGCACAAGGGGTAACAAGTTTGTGTAGGAAACTTTAAATCTGGCATTTCCTAAATTGGAGTGATTGACTTTGCAGCCTTAATGTTCTTTTAACATCGTACTTTTGTGTGTGTTATTTCCTACGTCTTTCAAATAGCAAAGTGAAAAAGCAAATTCCATCATGTTGCATCGTAATGATACACATCTGTCTCCCCTTCTCCCCACCTCCTTCCCTCTGCCTCACTGGATTTCAGATCATCTCCTTCCTTCACCAGTCCTAGTCTCTCCACATGCTCCTTGTCTATTCCCAGTATCTAGCCCCAGGCTCCTGGTACCAATCTACTTCTTGTGCCCCTCCCCAGGTTTGGGAATGCTCCCTCTGCATTCAAATTGGGCAGATTCCTCCTCTACACTGCCTGGGGCCAGCAGAGAGGGCATTGAGAGCACAGGGTCCCTCCTCTCAGATGAGGGTCTCAGTCCCAACATGACCAGGGCAGCCCAGAGCTGTCTGCAATTGCAGGGAAAATCGGTGAGGTTTTTAATCTGTTAAAATGTTGGCCGTCTCTTCTGAGCATGTGCAAACTGCGATTTTTTTTTAAAGGCTTATAACTTGGCCAAATTCAGACAAATTTTCATGGGGATGGCAAAAGGCCCGTCTCTGATGCAAAGGCCACTCCTCTGCAAAATTTCAGCTCCCTGAGGGTGCTAGATCTTCTCAATTACACGTTGTGAAAATGTTGTGAAAATAGGCAAAATAATGTATTTTTCCCTAGCCTTATTCTCAGAAACGATTGAACCATTTTCACTGAAAATTTCCAATAATAGTAATACTAACAATAATTAATAATACTCAGAGTGAGGAAAACACCCAGCCTGGAAATTTTCAGTCCAATGGTAAAAATTTGGCAAAGTTATAAGCAATTGAAAACAGGGTCTTCTAATAGGAAGCGTTGTGAACACAATAATAGGTGGTGCTACCAGCCGCACCTATAACAATTATTTTGGTGCTCATGCAGGGTTACAAGATGTCATCACGTCATCAGCGTGATAGGTTATTTCAATGTGTCTCATTAAGTATTCTCCATATGGGAATAACTCATATTGAAGGCTCCCATTGTTTAGTCCACAAAGTGGGTGGACATAATCAAGTGTAAATACTTATTAGTAATTTTGACAGAAGCTGGCTTAATGATAACATTTTCTAAAACATTTTGTAAGGAGTATTAGTTATTTATATTCTGCTTAATTCCTTGTGTCCCTCGGCATATGATAATAAAGGTAGGACCAACTTTTTAAAAGTTTGCAGGAACGTTTCAGGTTCTTTGGACAGTACTACACAAAGCACAGGACAGAGTATAAGTGTATATAGTGTATGTATATGTGGTATACTGTAATTTGGTACAATCATGATGCTTATTAAAAATGTTGGAATGTATTAATGTAAATCCTTTAATCTTGGAAATACACAGGCCTGGAATCAGAACAAAGGCTTAATTTAAGAAATATAGTTAGAACACAGGTATTGAACAGAATTTTTTTTTCATGTTTAAGTACAGTTTCATGCTTATTCAGCTATCTATTGGTAAAAAAAGAATTTTGTTTAAGCTACTTTTCTCTGTTGTTTTTCCCCAACAAGGCTTTTAAAAATGAAATAAGCGCCTGTTCTTTGTTGTTGTTTTTTTAAGTGCTTGCTGCCTTTAATATTTTTAAATGATGTTACACAATGGTTGGGAAGCTTATCTTGTTTTAGAATGGTGTTAAGGCCTCTTTATCTGTCATTATCGTGCATTGTTTGATAGGCAGAACTCAGGGCTGATCTTCACTATGGATCGATGCTGCTGCAATTGATGCAGCAGGGATTGATTTAGCGGGTCTAGTGAAGACCCACTATATCGATGGCAGAGCACTCTCCGGTCAACCCCGGTACTCCACCTTTCCAAGAAGAGCAAGGGAAGTTGACAGGAGAGCGTTTCCCATCAACGCAGCACAGTGAAGACACTGGGGTAAGTCGACCTAAACTACGTCGACTCCGGCTATGTTATTTACGTATCTGGAGTAGCATAACTTAGGTTGACTTACCCCCGTAATGAAGACAAGCCCTCAGAGTTAAAGTGGTATTGTTTTGAAACAGTCTCTTGGGAAGGAGGTTCTTTACAGATTCACTAGTGTATTTAACGTAACGCACTTAGGTGGCTTTTACTGTGTCTTTATTATGGAGTCACTATAGGTATCCAAGATGATGTTCTGAGGCACTAACCTGAGAGAGCTGAATGTGGTGGTGTAATCAGATTCCAAAGACCTAGTCAATCTGCCACATTTGGAGTGAGCTGTGGGAAGGACTGCTAGTTGAGCAGTTGGTTCAGCTTTTATTCTGGATTCTTTAAGAGCACCTCCTCATTGCAACTTTCAAAATATTAGCACTGGGAACATAATCTATTTACTGGTGCAAAAAGCTCCCTGACTGTTGATTGTAAGATTTTTGTTGTTGTTGTCCCCCTAGAATTGATTAAAAAATAAAAAAGATAGCTCTGGAAACTAGAGACAATCATAAGGTTCCTCTGCCAGGGATTGTGGAGATGTTTTCTTTCCTATGTTTATTTCTGCCTACAATTTTATGTTTGTACTACATTTTCAGTTTGTGATGCATTCTTAGTTAGAATTTTTATCCATCTAATTCAACTAACGCCATATGAAAAGCTTATACAGTGCTACACTTCACAAAGCAGTATTATTTGACAGGAAATCAGGCATGACTGGCACGTTGACAGACATTGGGCCAAATTCTCAGCTACGGTATTTAGAAAGTTGGTTTAATTGGCCAGCTGGGAATTCTGCCAGTGTGCATAGGGGTTTAGAGATTGCATAGAGAACTCCCCTCTTCTCCAGGCCCCTTGTATCCATGTCACATTGGCAGGATGGTTCAGAGCTCCCAATGTGCTCCTGTGATTCCCAGTTAGCATAACCTGGTAGCCCTGATCAGCTGATGTAGGATAGAGCAGTTTTGAGGCTGCTTTGCAGCCCCACACGGAACGTTAAGGCACTAATGGTTTCCAGTACTTACTAGAATGTTCTGCCTTGTGGCAATCTGGTATTGTGCACTATTTGTGGCTTTTCATACATTCACCTGGACCTTTTTTTCCCTATCTGCCCTCATTTCCCGGCCGCAGCATCTACATTTTTTTACATTCGATGACTTCACTAGAGGGGAATTAAGGAGATGCTTAATATTTCACATTTAAATCAGATGAGATAAAGACAAAAGCTCTTTGTTTTCCATCTGCAGTCTATGGAAGTTCGTGGGCAACAAACTCTTATCATGTATATTATGATTTGGTATGCTAAGAGAAATGGAAAATGAATGTAATTCCTCATCCAATGAAAGCAGAAAGAATTCAGGGAACACTTTACACTCAAATATTTTAACCATTTGTGCACAACGAGGGAGAACAAGAATGAAGTGAAGAATTATGAGCAGATATTTTTCTTATGGAAAATTCTGTTGTTTTGCTTCAGTAAAGGATTTTAATATTGTACTCATACCTATGCATTCTATACCTCTGAGCCCTCGTACCACTGCCGTGTCTAGTGGGGATTAATCCTAGTGCTGTCATTAGTGCTAATGTTCAAAACACTAGTTCATACTGAGACTGTGTCCCATAACTTCTTATGGGATTTATGTGATCCGATGCAATATGCAAATATTTCCACATTTTATAAAATGCTATAAAAAGCATCTATTAAATTGCATCATCAATGAACAACTTTGACTCAGAACATGAGAAACACAGTGAATGTAGGCCTCTCTCATTCTGTCTCCGTCTAACTTTTCAAATAGTAAAATAGAGTTAACATACAAAATATGCTCACCTATAGTAAATGATAGCTAGTCAATTCAGAAGAAGATTAAGTAACCAGGATTTTGACCATGCAGTAATATAGACTTGATATAGTGATTCCACGGAACCAATAAATCTCATACTCTGTGATAATGTGCAATGAAAGGTTGATTTTTATAATACATTAAAGGGCACAGAGTGGAGGTATAACAGCTTCTTTCTGGAAAATAGTTTATATTGTATGAATTTGTACTTTTATAACATAGTATAATAACAAAGATAAAATTGACTATTAATGTAAGTAGATTCTACATACTTGGACTAAGAAGCACATATTACCTGTTTTATACCATTGCTATAATTTTTACATCATATATCAGTGTTGATAAAGAAAGGCACTGAAATGGAATGCAGTAACAGACATGACGTGAAAGTGGTTGTAATTGTGAATTAGTCTTTATTTTTCCTGAATTATATTTTTTTAGAGATTAAACTGGAATATGAAGATATGAATCTAAGATACATTGCACTGAATTATATGGAATTCTTTTCATTTGCTTTGATTTTTTATTGGCTTTGTCAATGATTTGTACCATATGCCTCTCAAACTGCTGGTTCAGTAACTTGGATCCCAGGGCCCTAAAATATGGTAGAACCTGGGAGAATATTAAAAAAAGAAAAAACCTGGGATGCAATGGCTAATGTCACTTGGGACATTAATAGACATTCAAAACCATTTAAAATGTTAATTACAATTTACAGACAGATACATCCCAATTATCCAAATGTTCCAGGAATTGATGGGCAGAGATCCAACACATCTGATAATTGGAATTTCAGATAAAATTGTCTTCTATGTGGATTTCATACTCAGGGTGGCCAAGATTTCCAAAATAGCTAATGATTTTGGGTGCCCGATTTGAAACACTTAGAGGGAGCCTAATTTGCAGAAAATGCTGAACATCTACTCTGAAAACTCTTTTCAGCATGACTCAAGTAGTCACACATTCCGTTTGAAAATCTTGACCATGGTATCTAAATTTCAGAGCATCTGAAATCCCGCTAATTTGGGTTTGCCTGTATTACAAATGTCCTAAAATTACAAAGAAGTGCTTACTCTCTCAGGAAAATAGGAGTTGCCTACTCTGCCTGTAAGATTTATGGAATGTTTGGATGAAGCTGCGGAGTTTTCCCACACTCATGAAGCACTCGAGAGGTGTAATGAATTGTTCTCATTGTAAAATGAATGTGTATTTCCAAATTTATGTTTTTTCCATACTATGTTGTTTTATTTCAAAACTGCTTTCCTTTTCTCCAGATTAAAAATAACAACAACAATTATATGTGGTTATTTTTGAATGATGGGCCGAATGTGGAGAGAAATAACTCACTGGTTTGGTACAAAGAAGAGCTCTGCCAAGGATGATGGCCAAGGCTATAATGGGGTTCAAAAAAAGAACTAAATCAGTCCATGGAAGACAGGTCCATCAATGGCTATTAGTCAGGATGGGCAATGATGCAAAACCATGCTCTGAAATGTCCTTATCCTCTGTTTTCCAGAAGCTGGGAAAGGGCAACAGGGGATGCATCACTTGATCATTACCTGTTCTGGTCATTCCGTCAGAATCCTCAAATCCAATATTTTAAAGGATTTTCCTTTCTCTTTTAAGATGTAAATCTAACTGATGAGGGTAAGTAATGAAAAGATAGATCCCTACATTACAATAATTAACCAGAATTCCTAAAATTCTCATCCGGCTTATGTTGACCAAGGAATGGTTGCATTAGTCTACTTCTAGACAGGATAAATTAACATTTCATTGCCTCTTATGTCCTTAAAAAGCCATCTGGGAACACTCTGGTGAATAATACAAGGTTACCTTTGGCACTGAACCTCTGATAGACTCTATTTAAAAATATTCCCTACACAAATAGAGCAATGGAACTCAGCAAATAAAATGGAGACAATATCCAAAATAGCCCTTTTGCTCCTAATTATCAAACTTTTTTCTCAAGGTAGCGGCTCAAATTATATGATGCATAAGCATTTGGTTTTGGCCACAAGTTCAAGCTTGAACCAATGACACATTTCCTGTGAAAAGTTATCTTTAAATAGTATTGTGTTGTGAACACAAAAGTCAGTTGCACATCAAGGAGTTGATACAAATATCTGAAGTCCTGATCCTGCAGTCATCTCTGTGTGCAGTTGGTAACTGGAGCTGTGTGAATATCTGATTTTTTAGTTTAATGATCAAACCAAAAAATTGAAAAAAAGGTGTTTTGGGTCTATCTGAAACAATTTTTTTCAAAATTTTCAGCAAACCCTGAATGTTGAAAAAAAATGGTTTCAGATTACATGAAATGTTTTGTTCCATTTTTGAAGGGTTTTACCTCTTTTTTAAAAGAAAAAAATAGAATTGATATTCAAAGCAAAGAAGTTATTTTGAATTGAAAAGGTGAAATGCTTGGTTTAGAAAATGTTGAACCATGTTTACATTTTTGGGGATTTTTTTTTATTCCTCGACTGAAGTAATTTGGCAAACATAAATTTATGAAAAGTTTCAGTTGACACAAATCTGCAATTTTTGGCAAAAAAATTTCACTCAGCTCTATTGGTAACATAAACTTTTAAACACATTCAGCTTTTCATCGCTGTCCTAAATCTTTAGCTGGTTTTAGGTAACCAATTCAAGCTGAATATGTGAAATTTTTTAGTTATCAATTTAAAGTGCTGTTTCACTTTGGCGTCCACATTATGAAACTGATGTCTTCTTCCATTGGAACTAGCTTTTTTCAGAGTATGAGGTCTAATAAAGCTCTCACGGTACTTTCCAGCATATATATGCATTTTTAAATTTAAAGGGCCTGGTAGCTTGTATAAATGGTGAATGATTATGAATATAACAAAAAAAAATCTTGGGCAAATCTTCCACTCTGGCAAGTCCAAGTAATACAGGGCCCTGTATTCAGTGGATATAGATATAGCTCCATTGGTTCAATTATTATATTTATTTTGCAGCGGTGCTTAGGTATGCCAATCATGGCTTAGGGCCACGTTATGCTAAGTACCCTAAAAGCATATAATAAAGACCCTACCTCAAATTCCTCAGTGGAACTATGTACGTTGATACCAGCTGGCCCATAAACTCAATTATCCAATTTAAACTAGCAATGGCAACTCACTTCTGCATTGATCTCTTTTAGCTGGAGATATAGATGATTTAAAAAAAAACTGTGTAAAATAGGAGCTTGTGGAACCTCTAGAAATACCATCTAATCCTCTGCCCTTGAAAAAGAATTCAACTGCTTTGTCGAGTTAGCCTCAGTATCCTATCGGGAGTGAATATAAAAGTAGCTATTAGAGTAGTCCTGGGAGCTGAATCAATTCTGTGGTACTTAAGGGCAACAATTGGCTCATCACCTTCCCAGTAATGGGAGAGAAATAGAATGGGAAGTCCAAGGTGCTTGCCAAGATATATCTTTAAATAGTGTCGGAGTTTATAAACCCTTACAAGTTTTCTTGAAGCAGACATACAAAGACACTAAAGCAAAGATTTCTTTCATGGTGCTGTCTGTGATCGGCAGCATGTGGGGGTCTAACTCAGTTTCAGAAACTGTGCCCCCACCGGCCCTTTCAAAGATCTTTCTGGGTTTTAGTAAGTCTTTGTGGGCAGTGGAGGCTTGTCAACTGTTTCCCTCTCCACTACTCTGTAACTAGTCAGCTCCTTCCAAGGGGCAGCAGCTTTCCTTCTGCTGGTTGCCATCCTGTCCTGGGACCAGTTCTTCTTTTTAAGCTTGCTTCCTCCAGCTGGAGCAGGTACTGCAGGTGTGTCCGGTAAGGATTGAGCCCAGAAGAGCTCGTTAACCTTCGCCTGATTCGGATGGCGGGGGGATGCCCCATCACACTGTTCTTCAACTCTTTTTTTCACCTTACTTGTGTCTCTTTATACTTGAAGTCTTCACCTCTCAGGTCCAAAAACTCTGGGCTACACTCTCAACTTACCCCAGCTGGGGATCTGACCCTTTTGTAGCTCAGCCTCAAACACATTAAAGCTCTTTTCTGATATAGCTTCACCATATGATTTCAGAAGCTATCCAGGAGGGTTTGGAGCCAATGGGCCAGATTCATCCCTAGTGTAATTCAGATAAACAGCATTGTGCCCGGGATTAATTTGATCCATTGTGTCTAGGGTTACTTTGCCAGCACAATCGGGAATACACTTAAAAACTAAAAACCAACCTGTTATTTATTTCCCTTTTATAATCAGTTGGATAGCAACTATTGTACTGGAAATTGACCCTCTCTCTTAAAGAGAATGTTACCTGTCAGTCCTTAAGTATCTGCTATTTGTTCCACTATACAATACAATCTCAGTTCATATAGTGTCCTTCAGTATCACTGAACGCTGTTTGGAGAGGAAAATGAGAGAGAAAATGCTGCACAGAAGTGTTGTAAATTAGTCTTGTATGGGTAGAAAGGGGAAATGCTGCACAGAGATGGACTATCATGAAGAAGAGTTGAAATGTCACCGTGGTGATGTAATTTGGGATGAAAGTTTAAGGGGTTGGCGGGGAACGGGGTCTAGACTGAAGTGAACGGGAGGGTTGTATGGCAGGGCTGGAAGAGAGAAAGTGACTCAAGCCTTCTATATTGATGGGGCAGTCCAAGTGTGAAGAGCTGCTTGGGGAATATAGAGACATTAGCAGTGAGGGACCTGATCCCATTTCCAGTTCAATTCGTGTAGGTGAGGTGTAACACCACACAGTTGATGGAGTTACACTGGGGTAAGAGCAGTAGGAGAGCAGAATCAAGTCCTATATTTTGAGAAATACCTACTACCCATAAAAAAGGGGACTTCTGATAGCCAAAACTGGAACGCAGCAACCATAGAAGAGGAAGAAGAAAACAGTCTATCCATCTACCACGGCAACTAACATCCTGTTCACTCCATAAAATACAAGACATTTCAAGCATCCTTTTGCTCTTTTTTCCTCTGAATACTAATAGAGCTCAAAATCAGAATCCCTGAAGGTTGCACACTTGGATTGGTGCCTTGACCAGGTGACAAGCAGATATTTATCTGTGCAGGACTCTGAATGAAAGGTGGCCAAATGCAGAGTAAATTTCCACTATGTGGTGTGTCACTGCATTTTCCAAAGAGAAAGGAGATGATATTAACCTACAACGAAGATCCAGAACTATAAGGACACAAGAGATGGAGATATTAACATCCCGTAAGTATGGAAAAATTAACATGCCTGCTCTCATAAGGTTCATATAGCAAATTCCAGTGGGATGCCCCTGCAATGAATACAGAACTGGACTTTGCCATTTATAAAGTGCTCAAATCACACACTCCTAGCCTGACATAAGCGGAGCACCATGAGTGAATAATTGCCTTCTATCCATACTAAGGTAATTTATTATTCTATAAGTAAATGATAACTTCATTACCACGTGCTATTCTAAAATAGCAAGGGGGGCCACAATTGAAATAAAAAGGCAGATTTTTATAAAGCATGAAGTGCCAACAGAGAAATACTCAATGTAACATAGTAATTAATACATGAAGCGTTTAGCTTGATATTCAATGGCATACTTTACTGATGCTTTGTCAGGAGGGGTGACAGAAGCAGATTTATAATAACTGGTAGTAGCATATGTTTAATCAAACTGCCCACACACCTGCTACTGTAGATATTCAAAAATACAGATTCCC